CCAAAGACCAGGTTTAATATGTAGACCCCCCTAAGACCCATCTGACGATCGGGGGAATCCAGGTGACGCATCGGGAAAGAGATAGACAGTACCCAAACCACATTACAACAAACATGCTAACTCTCACTAACTCTGGTTAAACAGGGAAACACCGCCTAGCACTCTCTTTAAAAAAAAAAAAATTGACACTAATAGACATGAACAACAACAACAGCACACAACCCGAGAGAACACGAGACAGATAGCGCAGGAGACGGACCCTGGGGAATGGATGTAAAATCTCTACTTGTTGTAACGTGTTGACCTCCTATATGATGTTGATAGTGTCCTATGTGATCCAGGATTTATGTGTTGGTGCACTGTTCAGAAAGTCATTGTACAATGCTGTATCTATGCCTGTATTTTAAGTGACAAACAGACTACGCAAGACCTGTACTCCTCATGTCCCGAAGCACGAAGACGCACTACGACTCTGACACCACGAGGCGACACACAGCACCAGAAAACAACATAAGGGCGCCCCCCACAATCCGAAGACGCCTCATTCCAGGTAACCCAAGCACCCTACACAAACACCCTATACATGTAATAAACCGGCTTCACCCCAACATACACACTACCCACCCCCCTCCCGAAGCACAGCGCAAGACCATACCTCCCCTATACCTTATACCCAACCTGTACCGTAACTGAGAATTTAATGTCCCACCACACGATATTGCCCCTCAAACCAAGCCCAGTGTAACCACCCAAGGATTCCTCTCAAGCGGACCTTAGTTCCATTGAAAGCACACGCCACCCAAGGACGCCACGACCAAAAGCAGTCACCCATTACCATCTAGGTGACACGCCTAGCTCCAAAACTAGGTCCACCGGACCTATCCCAGGTGCACACCACCTACCCACAAGGCGAGTATCCGCCCGGGGTAGTCCACCAAGGGAAACCCCCAAATAGTCTAACAACCTACTGCTGACCACAGTACAGGTTGACGACACAAATCTCTGCTGTATATAGTTAAAATTTACTACCCCTGAACCTCTCCAAGTTTACAAATACCCCCTCCCCCTCGACGAGCTCGTAGCAACGATGGCAGACGCTAACACCACACCACCAACTGACCCTAAGATGGCACAAATACGTATCGTCACCCTCAATGTTAGAGGCCTTAACACTCCCGAGAAACGGAAAATGACACTCAACGAACTTCACCACCTGAAGGCAGATGTAGCCTTCCTCCAGGAAACCCATTTTAAAAAAGATATGGCCCCCACATTTCACAACCGACGGTTCCCAACGGGATACTTCAGCAACTACGAGACAGCTAAATCACGGGGAGTGGCAATACTCCTGTCAGCTCATATACCATTCACTTACACCACTCACAAGATGGACGATACAGGGAGACTCCTCATGCTAAAGGGCCAAATCGGCCAAACCACAGTGACTCTAGTCAACACATACCTCCCAAACAGACGTCAATGCAACACCCTCAAGAAACAACTCAAACAAATAAAATTATTCACAGAGGGCATACTAATTATGGGGGGCGACTTCAATCTATCTACCGACTCTCAGATGGACACAACATCCCACACGTCCCAATATCAAATGTCGGCCCGGAAACAAATGACGGCGATGCTAGACCGCGCACAACTATATGACTGTTGGTGCACAACACATCCGTCAGCGAAGGACTTCTCTTTCTACTCGACTGTAACACACACCTACTCGAGACTAGACATGTTTTTTGTCCCACACAGATTCCTCCATCTCGTTCAATTCAGTAGATACGGCCAAATTACTTGGTCAGACCATGCACCCCTGACCTTAGACAGGCATATACCCACATTACCCCAGAAATCCTTCCAATGGAAACTCAACGACCTCCTCTTAAACGACCCCACGGTACTAACCAATATCAATAACGCACTGCAACAATACTTCCACCTCAACACATCTCCCATGACTACCCCGCCAACTACGTGGGAAGCACATAAATGCGTTATCAGGGGTGAACTGATAGGACTCGCGTCCCGACTTAAGAAATTAAGAGAAGCCAAAATCAAATCCCTCACAAATGACATTAGAATGCTTGAACAACAACATAAACAGGACACTCAACTAAATGTATACATTCCCTGGTGTGTGTATTTGGCACTTGTTGCTTTTAGTACCTTTTTCTATTACTTGATTTTAGGGTGTTGGGGAACACCCTTTCCACTCCAACTGTGCTCCTGTTTTACTGTGTAAGCGCCATTCACTTTTCTTCTTTTTTGTATCTAAATGTATACATTGCCCTAACAGCTAAAAGGTCAGCTTTATGCGACCTGCTAAACTCCAAGGTCAAACGCAATCTCCTTCTTACCAAACACAACTACTTTGCCCAGGGGGGCAAATGCGGCCGCCTACTAGCACACTCCCTACGACAACAGAGACAATCAACATTCATAGCCAAAATCAAGACCTCTAATGGCTCCATGACCCATAAACTTCCAGAAATCCTCCAAGCCTTCCATACATTCTATACTGACCTCTACAATCTTAGAACCACGCCACCCTCCAATGCAGACATTGAACAATATCTCTCCTCGCGAATCCAAAAGACAATCCAGACACACATACTCCCGTCCCTAGATGCCCCCATTACACACGACGAAGTGCGGGCCGCCATACGTCACCTCCCAATAGGTAAAAGCCCAGGACCGGATGGGTTTACGGCTAAATACTACAAAACATTCCAGGAACATCTGACAGAACCGTTTGTAAAGGCCTTCAACTCCC